AATGGAAAAAATGAAAAAAAATGGAAGACCATTATGAAATCAATAGGGGATACTGGATACATTATCCACTGCAGTTTTTCTAAGTAGTGTTGTCAGGTTCAGCCCAAAGAACTCCACGAGACAATGCAAACACAGTTCTGTTGCGTTTATTAGCTTCCACCTCAAGACAGAGTCTTACCAGAGTGAACCCAAGTTCCCAAGCCAGCCAGCCACAACACCGTGAATTCCTTAGGGAGGTGCCAGCCTCATCTTCTTGAACTTCCCACGCTCCTGTTGGGGGCTCAGAACATGCTTATCTCCCTGAGCATGGCCTTCATAAGTCCATTCCATCACAAGTGTCCACCAAATGTGTTGGAACTGTGATTTCTAGAATTCCTAGCTAACAGATTGAAAGAACTGAAGCCCCATCACAGTTATGGGACATTAGGATTGGGAAGGGTAACATAACAGTCTGGAGGCTGTGGGGATCTGGATGGGGTGAAACAAGCTTAGACTAAATCCTATAAAACTGGAATTGCTGGTTGTCAGTAAATACCTGGGCATTCCAATCACAGCAATCTAGCAATTCTGGACAAGGAGATGGTTTGTGATTTGAGGGTCCTCTTGGACTCTTGGCTCTTACTTAAGTAGCAGATAAAAATCATGATCAGGGGTCTTTTTACCAGTTTTGCACTAATTTTCTACCTGGAATCATGATGCCCTGATAATGGTAAATCACCACCCAACTGGACCACGATAATGCACTGTATCTGGGGCTGCTTTTGGAGATGTCCCCAAAGATACCACTGCTACAAAATATGGCAGCTTTGGGGGCTACCCCAACAGTGTAGAATTACACCTAAATTAAAATCATTTCACTGAATGCCAGTGTGCTTCCAGCCCCCATTGAAAGTTCTAGTCATTTCCTGTAAAGCCCTAAATGGTGCAGCACTAGGATAGATCAGACACCTCACCAGAGCCAGAACTGGCTTGTCTAGTCCAGTCATCCAGAAACAGCTGGCTGAAAGTCCCCCGACTTTCATGGTACACGGAGTAGGGGAGAGATAATAGGGCAACCTCTATGGTAACTCCCACTCTGTGGAATATCCTCCCCCCAGTAATGCATACAGTCCCCAGTTGACTGATTGTGGGAGCTTATCTTGGATTTGTTTTTGCTTTTTGATGAGGGTTTTTTGTAATGTGAATTGTTTTTGTTTTTATCTGTATTTTGTTATTGCATGCCAGCCTCTGAGAGCTCTGGGATTGGGGTGGGTTATAAGTAGCAGTAAATAAAACAAATAATAGGCATAAGTAATCAAATTCTATTCCTTTGGAATATTGATGTGGAGTGATTATTACCTTTAGCCTCATAATAAGCTTGATCTGGAGGATGAGTGAATAAATAAAATGATTGCATCAGCATGCAAATCCTTCAATGAGTAGATCTGCAATAAGAGACACCCACTAAGTAGCTATACCAAAAAGAAGAGTTGGCTGTACTAGCGCCTGGCTGTCGTATTAGATTACAGCTCCCACAATTCCCACAATTTGGGAGCTGTAAAGTCAACACAATTGGAGGGGACATCAAGTTGGGGAAGATTGGGCTATATCAGTTTCGATGTATGCAACTTAATTTTTCTTGCTTCAAGTTTTTTCATGAAGAAGTTTCAGAGCCTTCCCTATCAGAAGGCTTAGTTGAGAAAATAAGAAATAGGCAAACTTTACAGCTGCAGCTAAGATTCAAGGGCATGTTCTGTCAGCTGCAATATTGATTCTTGTCATTCTTGAAGGATGTATTGTGCGAATAAGGGCAATCTCATCATGCAGTGGCTTGTTACGTAATGCAGGAGATCCAGGAATGGTTTTCAAAAAATCTGGTAGTAGCAGCTACAGGGAGGATTGGAGTTGGAACTAAGGCACTGGAGAAAAGAAGGATGAAATTTTTTTTTTGATAAGCTGCTATTGCAACGAAAAGCAGACACACCTCCCAGATGTTTGCTTATAGGGTAAACCTTCTTTAAATATTTATTTAATACATGAGGGTTATGTCTTGCATCTCCTTCAGGAGCACATAGCATTTCCTCTTTTAATTTTCCCCCACCACGACAACATTGTGAGGTAGGTAAAGCATCTGTGATTGATCCAAAGTTACCTAGATTACTTCTCGGGCTTAAGCTACGCTTGGGCCTGTGTGTCCTGGGTTCATGCCAACTTCTTAAGCATGATATCATGCTGAATTTCACCAGGTGCATGGTATAGCATCCCCTTGTGGACCTACGGCAATTTTTAAGCCCATTCCATCTGAGCTGCAGTTATGGTTCAGTTCCTACCCCATAACTTCTATTATTTAAAAAACAAAAATCTGCAGAGAAACCTGTTCTCTAAATCTCCATCGTGAATCTTTTCCCTAGGTAACCTTTTGTTAAAGGCACAACACTCAGGCTCCAGTATAGCCCAGCATGCTCCACTGACCTTGAGATAACATTTATCAACATTTTGACAGTTTCCATTCCACAAAGATGATATTTTATGAGACAAAGCCACTACATATCTTGCTATGGTTACACTGAAGAAGTATATACTGAAATCAGATATATGAAGTAACTTCATACTTCCTTCAGAGAGTAAGGGGAACATTCAATACAGAGGACCTAATTTTAGGTAAGGAGCATCTTTAATCCTATGCTTATAGAAAATCTGGCTGCTTTAAGAGAACAGCTCAAACACTGAAACCCTGCTGTTATTAATACTTGGGCTGTTTTTTACAAGACTTTTTTTTCTCTCCTCAGAGGAGCCATTTGTAAGAGTAATCATTATGTGTCTTTTTCACAGTTTCCTATAAAATCCTAGTTCTCTGAAATACTTTTTTCCCCTACTAGTTGTCTTTGTGTTGAACAACATATAACTTCTCTCATTGTATCTTACTTCCTAATATGCATTAGCCTTGCAACCACAGGTGTGCTGTTCTCAAGAGAGAAAAGATAAAGGTGATCTGAGGTCAATCACTATACAGTATATTTGCAATGTTTCCTTTGCAATAAATGGGAGAAGGTATTTAGACCTTCAAGGTCAACAAGCTGACTTTACAGGTGAATGTGTGCATGCGTATCAACAGGTAATTATGAAGAATCTGCCACAGACCACTTTTTCTAGTGCTGTAGAAATGGCTTCACCATTCTAATTGCCCACAGTGCCTCAGAGTTATACATTATAATTCAGGCTGCAGCTAGAACGTTGCTATTGTTAGTGAAAAGAAGGTCCCTGAGTTATTCACTGGGACAGTGCTACTCTTTCTGCTACTGTTTCTGTGGTTCTAATCTGGTCATAGTTAGGGTGCTACCACAGGTCTATGCAGATGAAGGTGAGACACCAGTATTGGGCTTCACCAAGAGAAGGGAGAAGGCTTATGTCCAGCAAAGATTTCTAACAGCATAGTGAAGCAATGCCATGTCACGGATGCTGCAGATCTTAGCAGGACATCAGGACCATGAAGTTACTTCATGGACAGAATTCTCCCACTACTTGGTAATGTCAAATAATAAATCCTCAAATACTCCTCTGTCAGAGGATTGCTTTACCCACTGTCACATGGGTCTCTGTTCTTTACTGTTTACTGCTATACCCCAAACTTGATACTGGCCCAACATTATCAGTGATGTAAGCCTATGTATGTTTTCTCAGAAGCACTCCCCACTGAGTTTAATAGGACTTATTCCCAAGTAGCCAAGCACAGTTTAAAAGATTTTATAGTTATGCTTCTGTAAAAGATTTGATATTTCACAGTTTTCTCTTACTCATACTTTAGGCACAGAGACATATGAGCACAACATATTTCCAGAAACTAGCTGTAATTTTTTCAAAGGGACTGTCTCTGTTCTCCTACAAAAAATCTTTTAAGGGTTCTTTGAGCACCCAAATCCTATTCAGCAGGATTTCATGGAAACAACTATCCAGCTCTCTTCTTAAAAACAGATTCCCAGTCCTTATTGTTAACACCTACAGAAGTCCTATTTTCTATTCTTTCCTATCTCCCCAACAAAGTCATGAGCAAACAAAGACAAATCTCAGGAATATACAAGCATAAAACTTGAATTCTATCATGTTACAATTGTAAGATTTTATGCACAAAATAAACAATACTTCCAAGAAATCTCCTTATGTTTCCATGAACTAACATTAGGATTTATCTTGAAGTAAATGTATTATCCATGATATTTCAAGTGTTCTGTCTGGAAACTCTTGAACTCTCAAAAAATTATTTGATTATGCTCCAAGCCACCTTCATTATCAATATTTTATCTCTGCTTAGCAATGAAACTACAAAGCCAATGTTTATAAAAATGAATTTATCATTTTGAATCATACAGTTAGTTTGATTTAATTAATTTAATTTTAAATTGGTAGATTTCATTATCTAACACATTCTTGCACTTTGACCTAGATAAGCTAAAACCAGAAAAATACTGATTTTGGGAAGAACCATAAGACAAAACATTTATTTATCTAAACAATTTATATAGCCACCCGTCTAACAGCTGTAAGTCTGGGCAGTGCACAAACAATTAAACTAAACCCAAAACATAATATACCAGATAGAAGCTTAAAATAGTAATAATAATAGTAATAATAATACATAATCCAATTTTAATCCATACAAGCCAAACAAACATCTGCCAACTTCACTAGTTTAATCTTTTGGACCGAGTATCTGAATGAACTTCAGATACTTGGTCCAAGTCTTTAGCACCTTGCAGAAGACCAAAAAGGTCAGGGCAATCCAGATGTCTGAGAGGAAGCTATTGCATAGGGCAAGTGCTGTGACAGAGAAGGCATGATGGCTATGTTTCACAAGATAACATTTCCTAATGGAAGGGACCTAGAGCATGCCAACCTTGTTGGTTCTGGTGGGGTGAGCAGAAATGACTGACTGGAGACAGGTGGTCCCTGAGGAATCCTGGCCTTATACCATGTAGTCTTTATAGGTGACAACCAGCACCTTGAACTGCACCTGACAGCCTTCTGGGAGCCAATGCAGTTTGCAGAGCAGAAGTGTTGCATGAGGATGTTGTGAAATGCCCAAAACTGCCCATGCCGCTGCAATCTGGACCAGATGCAGCTTCCAAATATTTATGTGAGGCAAGGACAGGCCCACATAAAATGCATTACAATAATCCAGCTGGGAGGTTACTAAGGCATGAATTGCTGTGAAAGGGGCCTTCCGATCTAGAAACAGGTACAAAGGTGCCCAAAGGAATCTGTGCATCTATCCTAGCCATAGCTGCCACCTGCTCTTCAAACAGGAACGGTGAGTCCAGAAGGACCCCCAAATTAAGCACCAATTCTTTCTGGGGTAGTGCTACTATTTAGAAGTAAAGACATAAAGTCTTTGGATCCAGGGGGACTTCAAACACACAGCCCCTTGTCTTACCACAATTGAGCTTCCAAACACTGGACAGACCAACCAATACTGACTGGAACTGGCCTGGAGGAAGGAGAACCACCATATCACCGTGCCTCCCACTCCCAACCCCATGAGCCAGTCCAGGGGGATACGATTGATCAGTGGTATCAAAAGTCACTGAGAGGTCAAGGAGGCCCAGGCTAAATGGACTACCCCCACCCCATGCCCACCAAAGGACAACAATAAGTGCATTTTTTAAAAAACAAATTTACTACCCATCTACCTGAAGGAACCCTGGGTGGCAAACAAAATAAAACACAATATTGTAAATTAACCATTTAAAACAATAAACAACATTGAGGCCCTGATAAAACTCACATCTATCCACCAACCATCCCATGCCAGTTCTATCAATGCCTTGGCCCCAGTGCCTGGGGGAAAAGCCAGTTCTTAGGCCAACGGGGTCCAGGCATCCATATCTCTGAGGGGAGGCTGTTCCATAAGGCAGGTGTTTTGGGGGCCGCAACAGGTGACATTGCTTCACTGAGGGGACCCAGAGCATGTCCACCCTGCCAGATGTAGTAGGGATGGGCAGAAACCTTGGGGGATAGGTGGTCCTGCAAATAACATGCTCCCATGCTACTGTATGTGTGGTGACATACACTTTAAAGGTGACAACCAGGACCTTGAATTTTACCCAGAGCCAGTGTAGCTCACACAGCAGTGGTGTTTCATGGGTGTATTGAGGTGTGCCTGCTACTGCCCATGGCACTGCATTCTGGACCAGCTGCAGCTTCTGAATGCTCTTCAAGGGCAGCCCCATATAGAGTGCATTGCAATAGTCCATTGGGAGGTGACTAAGGCATGAGTGACTGTGAGCAGTGTCAATGTACTTGCGCAAAGGCCCTCCTGGCCATGGTTACCACCCCGCCCTTCAAGCAGGACAAGAGAGTCCAGGAGAACCCGCTGGTTGCACCCCAGCTCTGACTACGGGAGTGTCACCCCAGCCTGAGTTAAAGATGGCAAATTACTAGATATAGGGGACCCTAAAATCCACAGCCATTCAGTCTTGTCAGTGTTGTTCTGAAGCTGATTCTTCCTGATCCAGGCCTTCGGGCACTAGGAAAGCACCTTGACAGCAATCTGTGACATATACTAACAATCTGATCCTGAGTACACCTTAGTAATATAATTGTTATTCTCATTGCTAGTACATCTGATGCTGGCCTTTCAAACAGACATATATTAATACATAATCTCAGTACACATGTCTCTCAACCATTACATTTCCATTTATGGCATTTGTGGATTTTGCCCAGGCTCTCTGCAATGGATACAAAGGACAAAAATAATACAAATCTCAAAGAAAGAGGCATGAAGTCAAAGTTAGAGGTGACACAAATGTCAAGCCTCCATGAATTGAGGTCACCTTGGTTGACACTGTGAAAATATCAACTTGAGTACAGTAATAATATCTGTACCATTTCATGAGCTAAGTGAACAGCAATGAACAGAGAGTGGCCAAAAGGAAAGGTTTCGGTGTTCCCATGATAGTCAGGGTTTCTCTATCAGCTGTCACTTGGAAGGTGATCTTTTAAAACAAAAACAGATTTTAATAAAGATAAGAGTATCTCTTAAAGACAATAAAGCGATACAAAGCAGCTCTATCTCATTTGTTGGGTTAGGATAGGCAGTGCAGCATTTTAGCGCAGCCAAGAAGGAAAGTGGTATGTGCTGCACCAGTACAGCTGTCACTGACTGTCAAGCATGATTTTGTCTTTGCTGCTCCATCATTTCCATTTAGCAAAGGGCACCATTAACTGTGGTTGGCTTTCGCCCATCACCCACCACATGGAAGCAGAATATCATTGCACAAAGCCTGCTGCGTATACGTGTCTTAAGGTATGGGGAGAAACATTGCACCATCATTTAATGATGGTTGGAAAACCCAAGCTTAAGTTAGGAACCTCATACAGCAGAGAAACTGATTACCAGTTACTTGTGAGTTAGCTTTTTAACTCAAAGAAAGGAATGGATGCTAAGTATTCTGCTTGACAGAGGAAAAATAATCTGGTAAATAGGAAGTGTATTTCCTGGCAAGTGTCCCCATAAGTCAGACAGTTTTAATGTCAACATGGACCTGCTTCTCTGATTTTTTCTTTTCTTGTCACAGTAAGATAAGGAATGCAACTAAGAAAGCTGAAAAACTAATAACTGATGCAAGCAGGGGGCTTTCTGTTCCTCTACTGAGATTCCCCTTAAGGGACCTAGTATTTTACTAATTTACAAGCTGGCATATCTATCACACATTCAAAATTGCTCTGGCTGTACCTTCTTCCCACTAACAATTCCCAGTATCCATTCCTTAGCATGCGTGCTGGGTAATTTTCTAGGTGGGGGCAAGTTGTTCAGTCACAAAAAGGTGTTCATTTACCCTGCCCTTATTACCCTTGCTTATCTTTGTCCTTTTTATAGGCAGTTAAGTATACTTTCAAACAAAGAACTGGAGTGAAGTTCTAAAGAAGTTTGTGGGGCCCATCTGGTGCCCAGAGAATTTTTTGAATTAAGACAATCTGGAGGTATTGGCATGTACACTCATATGTTTTCTGAAGGTAAAAGTCAGATATGGCAGGAACCTGGAAGATACCTAGTAGGGTATAGATGGGGCCATTTAGCATCCCTGAGTGCTGTACTGGGGGCCACAGCTGTAAGCCCCTTCTTGCACATTTGTTCTCTTAGCATTATTCTTGCTCCCCACTTTGGTCTGCATTAAGAATGCAGTGTAATTAAAGATGAGGTAATACTGTTTCCAGGAGTTTACTGAAACATTTAAACGAATCCACACTTGCATTTGCGGTCATATATCCCAGTGCACTATCACATAGTGACAAGCTGAAAAGAACTGAGTTACAAATACAGAGAAATATAGGATTGCAAATGTTTTTAAAAGTGGTTTAATGAGAACTAGTGTTCATGTCTCACATGTTACCAGCCCTTGTTTATTTGAAGAAATACACAAACATTTCTTGAAAGTGACTCACTTAATCTTACTCACAGCACTAAATGGAATTTTTCCCACCAGGTATTTTCTACTAGAGATTACTAAATTACTAAACATAAATTCATTATGTAGTAACAGTAGCAAAGATATGTACTGTGACTTTTGTTCATCATTGTATTGACTCACGTCAGAAGTTTCTAACATCTAAAAACACAGTTCCCAGTCCCTAAAGGTTATAGGATTAATAAGTGATACCAAAATTTATTCAGATGACATTTAACTGAAATAAAGCCTGAAGTTATTATTTGATGGAGCATTTCAGGTCACCTAAACCTATCTGGTACAGGAAGGTAAGGAAGAACTGTCATGTGTAATTTCAACTTTGTGGTATAATGTTGCACAGTTATGATACATCTCAGCAAAACAAGAAATGAAAGAAGTCAAAAACCCCAGCCCAATGTCAAGAAACTGATAACAAGAATGAAATGCCCATATATAATATGTTTTATGACAAAATGTTATTCAAATACCTATAATAAATGGAGTTTCCAACATCACAATTCCAGAAGCCCTGCATATTCTGATGCCCACTTTCTAAAGCAGTTCTGGACTTCAGTCCAACACTTCCTACAATCACAGCAGGAACTCCTCGTGTTCTTTGCAGAGTTTGGTAGTTTAATTGGTTATAACTTATTAAAATGATGCATCCTTTTGGGCATTTGCTTCAAGGCAACCCCTTAGAACCCTTAAGACTTTTTAGAGAAAATGAAAAAGAGGGAAATCGCTCATGTACTCACGGTCATTGCACAGCGTCCCACTGAAAGAGGTCATGCTACAGTCACAGCTAAACCCATCCCACTGTTGCAAGCAGACACCTTGGTTGGCACAGGAGTCTTCTTGGCATGTGGTGCTGGGGCCTAACAAGAAAACACACCACAGAAGAGAACTTGAAGGTCTGTCATGCAGAGTGACTATATGTGCCATTGGATCACACAGGGTAGTTGCCAACATCTCATATTTATAGAGCAAATTATGGAAAAAAACTGATAAGGGGATTGGTGATAACCCATACTATTAATATTATTCATGTTATGAAGAGCCATATGGTTTCTGTTTGTAATACAGAGGAACATGAAGATATGAATTCATCTGGGATGATAACAACGTAAGAGAAGCAAGTAACTCAAGCAAAATGAAGTGGTGGTTCTTGCATATATTTCTAATTTCACTTTAACATCTACAAACTATCTTCCTCTGAAACAATGAGTTCTGCCAGAGACTGTGGAAAACAGAATATAAAACTGTAAAAAACAAAAAATACAAACAACCAAAAACAAAGCCACACATGTCATATTAAAAGCAAGCAAGGAAAAGAAAAATACGGCTATCCAAACGATGATTTCATGAAGAACTATATCTACAGATAGTCAGGAGACCTTTGGGTTGGCATTTTTTTTTAATTAAAAAACCCATATTGTTTCTTATTAGCAGGAATGTTGGCAAGTATCTTTTTACATGCTTTAAATTGTCCCATGCAGGTTTTTAAGAACAAAGTAGATAGAGGAGAGATCAGCCAACTAATGCACCAACATGCTAAAAAATGACATTACACATGAGAAACAAAACTATTCTATTTCTAAAGATCAAAACTAGACCACTGGGAGAAACAAACAAACAAACAAATAAAACGTTAAAGAAAGAGGCATGTTCAAGGCACTGAAGCAATCACTATACAAATAAGACACAAGACTGAAAGCCTGTATTCAGTATATCCTGTGAGGAGATGGCTCCCTGTGTCATATTTTTAACAGGAAGAAGTGGAAAATCAGCCACAACACACAGACATCAGCGCAGAAGTGCTGAAGGTTCCGAATGCGTTGCGTGGGTTTCAGTCTTGTTTAAAATACACAAGGGCTATCTACCTTGCAAATCAGCTTTCATCAATGCAACTTTGTCAGCAAAATAAAAAAGCAAAATATATTAAATGTTAGTAAGCAAATATTGAAATGGCAGCAAACACAGAGAAATTGTTCAGAGGAAAAAGTGCATGCTGCTCTTAAAGAGGAAAAAAAATTCCGAGTAATGCAAATAAATTAATGCTAATAGACATAAATATCCAGGCAAGCCAAAATGAGAATGCAGTAATTTGCCAGCATTTACTACAAATATAATGGTTAATTGAGCTGATGGCATGGAATGAAGGAAAATTAAAATCACTTCTTTCCATAGGATAAATGTGAACACGTTAGCAAAGGGAATGGATGGTTTAATCCTGACTAGCCATTTGTCATGTTGAGATATAAGCAGTTCGATCATTAACACATTATCCTTTCCCACCATCTTCTTTTGTAGAGGATTTGAAGAGCCCCTGGGTACTCCTGTGCCAGAAAATTGCTTTGGCGCTTACTAGCTCCCTTGCCACCTAATTAAAATATACAGATGGAGCCAAAAGTATTGGTACCCTCCCACTTTTTCCCTAAGAATACCAATATGTCATGAAATAACTGACACAAGTAAATGGCACCCACCATTTTTTATTCCACAGTCCATAGAGCGGACACTTTGCTTTTGGTGCATGACTTAACATATTCTTGTAAATAATAAAGCAAAAGGGAAAACTTTACAAAAGAAAATTGAAGTCTGGTACGTAAATGGGTGTTCTTCACTGGCCATAGGTATGATGGCAGTCATTTTGTGCCTCTCCCCAACTCCTCCCTGGCAACCAATGCTCAGTTAGAACATAGTCTCAAAATTCCATATATGTATACAAGACCAAAAGAGTTAAAATCCCTGGATTCAAATGTACTTTAAGAACTACTCCCTATAGTTGTGTTCACATCCCATGTAAGTCAGTTAAAGATCTAGTAACTACATTTGCACAAGTCAAGCTTTGTTTGTTTAATCTTGTTTGTTTTGTGACTTAGCATCTTGTGTGAATGCAGCCTGTTAGTTTATGGTTTAATGTATTGTTCAAATCCCCCAAAATGGGTTAATTAAATAAATACATTAGGTATGTTGTGTGAATACAGCTAATATTCTTGAGTCAACCTTCTAGCAAGTATTGGGGCGAGGATAAAAGAGAGTTCTCAAAAATTTTGTTAAACAATGAGTTAAACCTAGACTATACAGAATCATATTCTCTGAACTTAACTCTATGTTGATACAGAAAATTCTTGCTGCGTTACCATCTAGCAGTCACCGTTTTGCAAATCAAATATGGAAGCACTGCTCTAGAGCCATCTGAAACCAAGCCACAGCTGATGCTGGAGTATAGCTGAGATTAGGTGATTGCTCCCTCTACTGTCCCACTGCAGAATGACTCCAAAAAGGTATGCCTCTGCGTGGCATTCTTAACAGTGTCATTTTTTTTTATTCTGTATTTCTTATTTTTATAAATAACTCAAGGCAACAAACAAACCTAATACTCCTTCCTCCTCCTATTTTCCCCACAACAACCACCCTGTGAGGTGAGTTGGGCTGAGAGAGAGTGACTGGCCCAAAGTCACCCAGCCAGCTTTCATGCCTGAGGCAGGATTAAAACTCACAGTCTCCTGGTTTCTGGCCTAGTGCCTTAACCACTAGGCCAAACTGGCTCTCAAAAAAAAAAAGAAAAAAGAAAAAAAAAGAAAAAAAGTCATGGTGATAAGAGTGGGGTAAGCACCTGCTACAGAAAGGACCCACTTAACTGACTGAGAGAAGGTTAGATTTAGCCACAAATGGAGCAGGTTTGGTGAGCAGTTAATCTAACATACTCTTCCATGTTATACAAAACATTTTGTTGACTTTCCTTTCTTCCAAGGATCAGAAGGAGACTGGTGGCATCTTTTCTAACTAACTCATGTTATTAAAAGGCAAAAGTTTTGCGAGCTACAGCTTACTTCATTTGCAGTCAGGATGGCAGCTATGACTGCAGTCAATGCTCCAAACCTTTTTCAGGTGATGTATGTAAAAAGGGGCAGCTGCCTTCTTGACTTTTTTGACCCCAGCAGATGCCTCATAATTATCTGATTTATATAATATAGCTTGTTTGCATTTGACTTTATGTTTTTTGTGAAAAGGCCTTCTGAGTTGTAAAACATGATTGAGGTCTGTAGTTTATTGAACATATCACAATTAAGCAAACTGTATCTGAGCATGATATGTAAATCAAGTCTACATGCATGCTGCATTGACACAGGTAGCAGCCTTTGGCTGGTCTCTGAACCTAGAAGCCTCCTCATGGACAGGAAGTCCCAGAATTCCAAGCCAGCACGATTAAAAGAATTCTGGGAACTACTGTCCAAAGACATCTGGAAGGTGTCAGGGTGGGCAAGTTTGGCTTAAAATATTACGGGAAATATATTTGAAATGTGTGATGAGCTATATCTTTATTCCTGATATTTCTCAGATGAAACCAAATAAAGAAGAGATAGTCTTTACCACTGTAAGGGATCACATGCAGTTGTACTGCCCAGCTTTTTTAGAAGGTGGGGGAAGGAAATGGAAATAAAAGATCAAGGCCATTTCAGCATGTTGAAATAGGAAATCTCAATAAATTGAGATATCCACAAAACTCAATAAAGTGTGGGACAGATTTGTGAGAATACCATCATGCTTTCCAAAAGCTACTGAGCCGTCAGTGAAGCTGGGGGGAAAGGTGTGGCAGTGGACCACAGATTAACAAGAGACTGGGCAGCAACTGAAAAGCTCAACTGGGTACACGAATCTGAAGCAGGAGTGGCCAGATCAGGCTATCTTTCCCAGGTCTAGGAAAGGAGGCCTGTGTGGCCAATGGCATGCAAGGGCAGTGGGATCTGGCTGGCTTTGGAGCTGCAGTTACTGAGGGTCTTTCCACCAGATGGCCCCTCTTCAGTACTAGGACCTAGTTCAAGGATTCTGGGAGTAGAGCTACTCACTTAGCTGGACCCTCCCCCTCTGACCAAACCACTGACCACTGCTGCTAATCTAGATCATGTCATGCTGTCCTCAGATGACATCAATATTAAACCCACTTTCACTGGTTTTATAATGAAGACTTTAGTATAGGTTGAATGTATTCAGGGCTAATGTCAGACCCTGACTGCATCCATTCAGATTATTCTTAGCCTTTCAGTTTGATTCTGTAAATAAGCCTGATTACATAAATTACTTGGCAGTTAAGGTGATCCTTAAGAATTTGGGTGCTACATAATTAAATGATTATTTTAATGCCAAGTTTTAATCACTAACAGAATGTATCACCATCTGCCCTCTTTCTTACCTGCACTGGAATCTGTTATTTGCATACTTTACAAAACGAAGTGAAATTACCTTTAGGTGTTTAGAAGCTATGTATTCATGCATTTATTTACACTTTTGTTTTTCATCAAATTAAAATTAGAATTCAAGTCATCAGGATTTAAACATTCAACCAAAAACAGTACCATGGGGACAATTAAACAATATGAATGAACAAGCTGAATGGGCTGAACTGGGGTTTCAGCTCTTCCTATCAAATCAATCAGCAGACTGTCTACCTTTACACAGAAAAAGAAATAATTAAAAAGCCCTGGCAGGGGCTCATTAATAACATGGCCCAGTGATGTTTGGGAAGCCAATGGCTAGGTTCTTACTAAAGCAGGCTTGTGGAAAATGTGACCCTTTCCTCAACTCCCATCCAAATATAGCTCCTTAACAAAAAAAAAACAACAAAAAAAAACCTCTGAAATTTTTCAGCTGCAGGCAGGTGACAATCTGGGCTGCAACAGGAATACTGAATCTCAGAGGGTTTAGAGTGGTGTTTCATCTGTGGTTGTGTGATTGAAGCCTCACCCATTTTTTACATTTGTACTAAAAGGGGTGGGGCTTCCTTTGTGCAGTCATGAGCTCCATCTTGACTTTTCTGACTCCCCTGTGGACACCCCTGATTGAATCTCTCTTTGGTTTGGTAGCATAAGAGTTATGGATGCCTGGGAATTATTTTGAATTTGCTTCTGAACAAACAATACGTTGGTCATAAAATAACCACCAGGACACATTTTACAACTGTGCCTGCAGGAGGCTCTTCCTTTATAATGAAAACATTATTATAAAGAAATGGGGAGAGCATGCATTTTCACTGATGACTGAAAAGGGAAACCATCGATTGAGAAAGCTCAATGAGAGGCCACTGGTCTGCCTGAGAGAGCGAAGCTGGCTGGTTTTGGTCCCTTATCCCCACAGACACATAGAATAAAATTCATCTCTAAATGCTGAGAGATTCATTATTGAGGCTATGGAATGCAACAAGTTAGTTTCTTTTTCTGAAGTTATTTTTGTTTCTATACAATGATCCTTGCTTACCATTTAAAAAACAAATCAGCCTTATTTTAGTATTTACCAAATCCTATAGTACAGTTCTAAAATATCCTTTCTTTCAGACCTCCTCCATGACCTTGTCTGCTGGGACCAGGGATATAAAGAGCAAATGTAATTCCAGACTATGAAGGAAATAGTCATGGAGTAATACCTGAAGTAAATCTTCAGTATAATAATGTATTTATTAATTGGGCATGCCTTTGAAATCAAAGGGAAATGATATATGTCATAATATGTTCTGCAAAGCACTGATGCTAAATACGTCTAGGTGGATAACTGCACTAATAATATTTAATTAGGAATATTCAGAACTAAGTATAAAAGGGTAAAGTTTCTTTAAGATAAGTTCTCCTGGTGACAAGTCTGTATCATTTTCTTGACAACAACATGGATGTGGCTTGATGTTGCTTTCCTCCAGGAGGTCTATTCAATTTCCCAATCTAGGCTTCAACTCTGGTATTTCTGGGTGATCCCCCACCTATCTGCTAATCAGCTGTTTAGCATCTAGAGATCAGCTAAGGTCAGCTAGCTTTTGCCACTTAGCTGGAGAATAGAATACTACAGTATCTAAATAAAATCCATATGATATGGAGGTATAATTAATTGGTTTGTTTTTGTCTCTTCATTTCCTATATCTGAAAATCCTTGTTCTACAAATACAATAGAAAGATTAGTCACTCCTAATTAACTGATTGAGTCCCATGACTGTTTTCTTACCTCCCATTGCAGATAAATATGGAATCTATTTAGTGGCCCTATCATCACTAAATTTTCAAATTATGTCAAGTATGTGACTGTGAAAAAAAAAGTGTGAAAAAATACCAATTGGTGGGATGCACATGAATAAACTGCAGGATGGATACAATTGTCAAGCTGAGCAATTGAAGATGGTTTCCACTGGAAACCATTTTATGCATTTTTGTCAATTCCAGTGCAGATTGCTCTGTCCTTTGACCATAAGGGCAGTAGTATTAGTTTTGGCCTCATCTGCAGGATTGTCATCACCAATATTCTGCAGATGCTAATACTCCCACAAGTGCAATAGGAATCAGTGATGATCTTTGGCTAGGGGCAATCATGTCCCTCTAAATCTAATCTGAATAAGTGGAGGAAGATTATTTATCTCCCACCAGATAATGATTTTCTCTAGAACTTTCAGTCAGGTATTTCATACCTCTCAAGGAGGATGCTGCCCCTTAATTTCAGAAGCATTCATTTTGATCAAAATTTTCCATTCTACTTTGCATAAGGAAATTTAATCTATCTCTCATATTTTCAACCTGGAATCACTACTTTTGGATTAAAGTGGAAGGCATGGAATATTGGTCATTATGTTGTGTGGTGTCCACTGGCTACTTCTGGGTGCTGCTGGCCACGAAGTCAGAACTAGACTCCTTGCTCACTTGCTGGCACTCCCTAGAAATACTAGTCAAAGATTAGTTGTTATTGATAGCTCCCTCCCCTTCACTCTTCACCTTTGCTTATCACTGCAGCTATTTTTCAACACAAGGTTGGCACTCTTTCAAGTTCAGGAACAACCCAACTGATAGATCACAGGTCCAGAAGAGAGGGTGCAAGGACATTGGGAGAACTCCCTCCTGCTTCATCTCTATCCCCTGCTACCTGTTAGTTGGGCAGCTTGATGAGTGGCTAAACCCAATATTCTAAGCCTGCATTTAAATTTGTACCACTGTGCTCCACCCCACATCACAGAGAGTGAGTGGTGACTGTTTTTTCCAACAGCAGAAGACACTTTGTAGGAAGGGAAACAAAGCCAGAGGAATCCATTAATCCCTTTTTTTAACTTGGTCTGCAATAAATAATAACAATACCACCATTCACCAGGCTTCTTATTGTGGCAGAAGAGGAATCAGTAATACAGAAGGCACACTATATGTCAGTCTATTTTTCTGCCATCTCAAGACAGTAGAGAGCACTTTAACTTGGCCATCTGGGGGAGCCCCTAGACTCAGACCCTCTGAAAAACCCTAACATCTCTTGTTCACATAATGTGTGTTAGAAATGTGCATCTTAATTAAATTAGCTAATTTATGCTCTAACTACTATCTATGTGCTGTGATGCTCTAACTACTATCTATGCACTGTGATTATATAAAATGCTACATGGGAGCTAATTAGCACAACAATTAATTAAGATACTGCACAAACAAAACAAAGACAGGCAAATCAGCTAATTCATGGCAAAGAACAGAATCAACCAATTGTGTTCTGGTAGATAACTTAATGTTCTCAAGTTTGAATTGAGCTTTGTGTCATTGGGGTGCATTTCTCCTCCAATGGCATCCATTTTCATTAATAATGTAAAACTATCTAACTTAGCAACTGTAACAAATTGATGGCAGCTGGTAAGCTGGGAAACATATACAAATAACAGCAGAAAAAATGCTATAGCCCCCCCCCCCCACACACGCGTTCTCAAATATAGGCACGCATTTTTTTCCTTATTAAAAGGGGGGAGAAAAGTATTTAGATGATAAG